TATGGTAATGAGTAGTTTATGCGGAATAACAAAGTTTATGATAGGAAATTAGCCGACCATTGATGCTCATAATGGTAATTAATTAATTTGTAATGTTTTAAATAAAGGTGATTAGTAGTATGGGAGAGGCAGCACAGGAAGAAGGATGGGTTGTTTGTCGGATCTTCAAGAAGAAAAATCACCACAAAACCCTACTCAGTCCAGTGAATTCTTCCGTCACTACTGCTACAGAAGATCAAACAAGGGCAATACAAATGTTCAATGAAGGAGCGCTGAAGCAGATTCTTGAGTACATGGACATGAGGGCTTGTAAAGAGGAGAACCATGGCGGAGGCAGATCATATCTGAAGCCAATCGAGACAGCAGCTGCATTAGTCAACAATGGCTATCATCAGGATTCGCTCATGAAACTCCCAAGCCTAGAGAGCCCAAACTCTACCAGTAGCCGAACTTGCTATCAGCCCATCATCACAGAAAATGAAATAAGCAACTCATCAATCAACAACAACCAGGTAAGGAGTAACAATGGTGATGATCAAAACACGGGTCAATATCAATCGGGTACCAACTTCATCTCCAACTGGGTAGCCCTAGACCGGCTCGTAGCTTCCCAGCTTAATGGTCAAACCGAGACTTCAAGGGAATTAACCTGCTTCAATGAACCAATCATGACTTATTGCAGTACCCCAACTGATAATCACCATCTGCAGTTGCAGAGAACTTCAACGTTGTCAATGTCAAACCAAGACTATAACGGTGAAATAGAGTTGTGGAGTTTCGCCAGGTCAGCATCATCGTTGACATCATCAGACCTATTGTGCCACGTGTCCAACAATAGTGTATAACGGAATAAATAAATTACCATAGATATATAATCATACTCTAGTTGTTAAAGTCAGAGGGGTTATTATTACAGTGGTTATGTGATATAAGTAATTAATATTACATAAATAAAATTAAGTTTATTCTTAGATGGGATGGCATTATCAACCATTATATTTACTTAATCAAGAATTTCTAGCATTTTCAAAATTGCTCTCAACAACAACATTCCCGGCCAATAACAACATCGTGAATGGACTGATAAATTTCCAATTCCTCCTCCTAACAGCAATAATAATTCTGCCTTTTTCTCCTCTTTGAGATCATCAGTGTGCTATCTTTTATTTTTTAATTTCCTCATTGCATTTTGGGTCACATGGTTTGTCGGTCTGCTAATTGTGTTGAGCTCATAGTTATCCTGGTCCATGAATGCATTATGACAAATGAGTGTAGGACATGGGCAACCTTAACATGACCCTGAGAGATTGAGAGTCTTTAATGATCTAATATTAACAATCGCATAAGTAATCAAATATGGGAAGCTTGCTTAATTAATTCCAATTTCAGCCACTTGCAGAAACTTGTAGATTAATAATAATTTTCTCTATACTATACCAATGTACATCACATTTTTTATGTGCTCAAAAATTAACAAGGACACGTGGTTAAGAGCAAGTAGATATTTAATTGTGTACGTACTAACTAAAACCAGTTAGACACTCAGTTGTGAGATACTAAAGAAAATGCAGATACTATAATGTCATTTAACGACACAACATGAATTAGAAAAAATAATAATAATAATGTTCGTTGGGAACCAAATAGCTCTTAATAGGAATCACCATACGGTTGGTTCAATTTGAAGATATTAAAAACTGCA